GATTATCGAACAACTCAAGCTGAACACTCGCAGAACTAATGCCTGTCGACTTGTCAATTTATTGCCCTTCCAGGAAATTCACTCTTTAATACCAACAATTCTTGTCCATAGATCATCTTCAGAATCATCGTTAAACATATTTTAAGGAAGCGGACATATATCCCAATAATCTTTATTTTATTTCCACATTGCTACAATATCAAGAATTGTCGACGTATTTAATTATTCGTTCTTAACCCATAGGGACCGTACATTATGCAAGTTCATTGGTGTTCCCAAACTCATCCAATCACTTACTAAATTCTCAGTCATTAAGGTTATTTAGTTCATTTAGTAGTCAAATCGATCCCAGTTACTTCATTGTCTTCCCGAGTAACTCAAACGATTATGATTTCGGATACATGTTGTACTTCCGTTCAGTTCACTTTGGTCATATAATAAAGTCATTTTGGTATTCGTGATTGATTTATCTCACGAATATCCACTTCTTAGTATCGAATGCTCTCTAGCATTGAGCTGAGCCGAGTACTTCTAGAATTATCATCGATTGAAACTTGAAAACACAAACGAGCATTCAAGTGGTATTTATGCCATAAGGATATTTTGTTCATTTCAGTGCTTAACGTTATTTCAGTCATTTCAGAGCTTGAGGATATCCAATCATTCCTAGGATTGGTGATATTCTTTGGTCTTTTGCATTCCTGGGGTATTTTGGTTATTTTACAAATCCAATGTATTTCAATCATTTTCTTTCGTCTGATCTTATTTTTTAATTCAAACCTATCATCTATGCAAGTCCTTTCAAACAATTCTGACAAAAGAGCATCATCGATAAATTATTCTTCAGGTATTTACTTATAACTCAGAGATTTTCGGGTCAAGTGCCTTCTTAGATGTTACAAACAGGTTATCCAAATTTTTTTATACAAAGACAGAATCTTAATACACTACAAGAAAATATACATTTAATGACACACGAACGATGACACACGTTAATTTATGACTTGCAAAACATGTGTGTCATAAAAAATGTCATGTTTTTTAAAATCTGAACGATTTATGACTTACAATAATGTGTGTCATATTTAATAGTCATAATCCAAAAAATTTACAAAAACACGGAGTACAGTTTTAATTGTACGTCATCTGTAAAAATCGTCTTTTAATTTTCCCCCTCTTATTTTCATCCTTTCCCGCTTCTTCCTCGACATACATATGTGTCCAAATCTCTCATCTCAAAAAATAAAAAATCTCCCAAGAAAAAATAGATGTTCATCAAATATCTTATGAATAATTTGTTTTCTAAATAGCAGAGGAGGCCGGTAGAGGTTCATCGTCGGATAGAGGAGAAGGATGAGGAGAGATCAGAAGAGCAGTAGGATCAGACTCGATGGATTCGTTGGAATCTCGTTGGGTGTTCCCTGGGGTAGAGGAATATGAGATTGAGGATGAGGAAGATAATACAGATTTGTTGTATGGAGCTGGAGTAGATTCCGAAGACGAGGATAGTCTGGTGCAATGTTTGATTCGCACCGAACCGCGCATTGATTCTTTCGACGTTGAAGCTCTCGAAGTCCATGGTGCGTATAGAAGTGACTACGAGGTATATTGTTCTTGTTTCATGATGCTAATGCAATAAATCAGTCCTCTGATTGTAATCTTGAAAAATCGAATTTGTTTGGAATCTAACTTTATCGCGTTGAGGCATACCTTTTTTTAATGTGATTTAATTTTGCAGCTTACTTTTATGTGTATACTTGACTTTTGATCTCAGGACTTTGGTATAGGAAGGATAATAATACATGCGTTTCAGACTCTTGGTGTTGTATTTGGTGATGTTGGAACAAGTCCTTTATATACGTTTAGTGTGATGTTTAGCAAGGCACCTATCAACGGAGATGAAGATGTTATTGGAGGACTATCACTGGTTCTATACACTCTACTCGTGATTCCGCTTGTCAAATATGTCCTTACTTTCTTTGGGCTAATAATGACGGTGAAGGTATGCCAAATGTTCCTCAATCCCAATCAAGTCCTTGTTTATGATCTTTTATGCAGGCCTTAAACAAATATGTTAAATATTAATTCCATGTCAACTATTTGACATCTTTTGTTGATGTATTTTATGATCTTTAATTCTTTTATGTAGGCCTTAAACAAATATGTTAAGTATATATTCCTTGTCAACTGTTTTACATCATTTGTTGCTGTTTTTTTCTTAAGGTGGTACTTTTGCATTTGTACTCTTTGGTTTCTCGGCATGTTAAGGTCAGTCTTCTCCTGAATCTGGTTCCATCAGATACCCAAATATTTGGCTTCATGCTAAAGGTTCTGTCTCCTGAGCTTGAGAGATCACTTAAAATAAAAGAGAGACTAGAGACTTCATTGACTCTGAACAAACTTCTTCTGATGTTAGTGCTTGCTGGCACTTCTATGGTAATAGCTGATGGGGTTGTTACCTCTGTAATGTCAGGTTTTTATGTGTTACTGTTCTTTCATCTCTTTTGTTTATGGAATCATGCTATGGTAGAATACAACATAACAGTTTTATTAAATCTATTTTCATTTTTAATTTTTAGATGATAACTTTTGCATTTTTATTTGTAGTTATGTCTTCTGTTGGTGGTCTGAAGTTGGAGTTGGTGCAATTGAACAAAGTAAGCTGATATTCCATGTTGTTATCAACTCTATAAAACATTATTGCTTTGCTGACTCATATTTCACTGTTTATTAGTAAATACTGTTAGAGAGGACATTCCTGTTTCTAATTGACTTTTTGGCTAGGAATCTTTTGCATAATTTAACTTGTATGCTATTGAAAATTATTTTTTATTTTGAATATATCATGCAATGGTTATTAACCTGTAGATCTCATAGTTTGATAATGAGTCTAGAATTCTTCATTGTGTTTTTGCAGCTACCTTTTTCGCGATTATGTGCTGTTTGTAATGATAGTTTAACTTTAGTCGGACTAGAGTTTCCAGTCTAGCTAAATGTTAAATCTGTATGCGTTAGAAACAATATGGCCTTTTTCTTTTGCCTTCCCTCCTTTATATCCTATGGTTTATGTTCCTTTATGATTTTCTATATTATTATAGGTAAATAGTCATTAACTATTGTGTTTCCTTATTTTTTTCTTTATTTGCAGATGAAGTGGTGATGATATCGGTTGCCTTTTTTGTAATTTTGTTCAGTGTACAAAGTTTGGAACAATTCAAGTAGGACTTTTTGTAGGCCCTGCTTTGTTCATATGGTTTTGTTCTTTAACAGGCATTGGAATTTACAATCTTGTTAAGCATGATGCAAGTGTCTTGAGGGCATTTAATCCTGTTCACGTCTATTTATACTTCAAGAGAAACTCAGCTATGCGCTTGGAGGCTGTCTTGAATGTGCAACAGGTAAACACATTGATAAAAGATGTCATGTGCTCAAAACTTGCACTTTAGTTGCAAGTGTGGAGAGAGCTAGTAAAAGAATATCTTGATGTTGTAATCTAATTTTTACACTAATTTTCGGTTAAGCTTTGTCAGGTAACCATCTTCTAGTAAAAGATCACTGAACTATTGACTTGATTCTAATTTTTACACTAATTTTTCCTTAGGGACTCGTAGCTTGTAAAATCTAATCAGGTAACCATCTTATTCTTTTCTTTTATTATTTCATGTGAATTTAGTGTTTCACCCCTTTGGACTTAAGTTTAGATATGGATTGAATAATTTCCAGACTTATATGCATTTTTCTTGTTCAGATGCAATGAGAAACATATTAATCGTATTTGCCAAGTTAAATCCGAGTATAAGATATGTTCAAGGAATGAATGAAATCTTGGCACCTCTATTTTATGTATTCAAGAATGACCCTGATGCGGAAATGGCGGTAAGATCTCATTATTGTCCCCACCCAGTTCTTTTTTATTAAATCTCTAATATGCGATTGTTTTAATTTTCATGTATTGAATATGAAAGAGGTTTCCATGATTTTCTTGTTTCTGTTTGCAACTCCATTGCATCAAATCCATCCATTTTCTTGCCCCAAGATACCCAAAAAGTTTAAACAAAAACAATAACTTTCAAATAGATTACAGCTTTTGAAAAACAGTACGGTAATGTTCATTTATCATTATTGTTATCAACTTGGCGGACATATATATATATATATATATCATATGCACCAAATATGGAGTATCTATGGCAATATATAGCCATAGACCAATTACAATTTCAGTAAGAATAACATGAAGCTGACACATTCTTTTGTTTTGTTGAGTTATTGAGTGGATTCCGTGATCATTTCTACCAGCAACTTGACAACAACAATGTGGGAATTCGTTCCACAATTTCTAGGTTGTCACAGCTTCTAATGGAACATGATGAAGAACTTTGGCGTCATCTAGAGATCACAAATAAAGTAAGATATTGTTGCAAAATTTAAACATCCTTTATATATTGACTCATGCTTGCCTCTTACCTGCAAAATTTTGAACACTTTCACCTTTGTCGTTTTCCGCAGCTTGTCAAGGTAATTAGTTGGGCTTGAATGCTAACTGTTGTGTTTAAATATCACACAGGTTAACCCCCATTTTTACACATTCAGGGGGATTACTTTGCTCTTGACACATGAATTCAATTTTACAGACAGTCTCCACATGTGGGACACACTTCTTAGTGACCTTGAAGGCCCTCTGGTATGATTATAATTTTTATCTCACTTAATTATCTAGAACTTTTCTCTAAGATTAGGGGAGGAGATTAGGGATAACAACACATGGACCGGGTCAGATTTTTTATCGTCCTAGCCCAGACCCAAAAGTTAAGAGTTTTCACCTAACCCCGATATCAGTAAATTTTAATCTAACCCATCACTCAACAACCCTAAAATTTTAAATAAAAAACCTAACCCTCCCTATCCCAACCCCAAAAAAATTAATACAAACTTTAAATATGTTGTATGAAATTAATTATAAAAGAAAAATATGTATTATTTTTCTTTTTTCAATCAATTAGTGGCGTTGAGTGATTCAAACGACAATTTGCACATTTGGAGGAGCATTATGGTAAAGGTGAAAGAAGTACTCCACTTCTAAGACATCATGCTTCTTTGCCTAGGTATTCTTCATAAAATTTTAGGAATCATGTTAGTTCCATAATTTCTCCCCTAAACTTAGTCTGTCTAGTTCATGTGTCATATTTCAATTTGCCTGAATATCGTCTTTACAGAGAGCGAGTTCCTGCTCCCAAGGATGAGAATGATCAAGTTGATGGTGAGAATAACACTACTTCAATGACACAATATGGTTCAAAAAGCGCTAGTGCTTCAATGACACAATATGGTTCTGAAATACAAGTTGCAAAAGCACTGGAAGCTTGGATATGGTATATGGCTACTGTTTGATCATTACCGCACTCCATTGGATCAAATATGCAGAAGGTATGAATTGAAACTTGGGAGAATTGTATTGCACATAGCAGTTCTCTAACTTATCAAAGTTATGCAGAATCTTAACTAGTTAACAGGCTTAGTAGTATGCAATGAATCTTCCAAGTTGTGTTCTTTTTGCTAAGTAGACAAGGTGTGAATTTGTCTGTTGTCGGCTTCACACCACATAAGATGTACAAGTATGGAGCAAATGGTGAAACTGATGATATGTTGGAATACCATGCTACTTTTGATTTTTCACAAGACTCCCCTTTAGTAGAACTTGATGATGATTTCTTGTGTAAACGCCCGGATGGCGAGGGCATATTTGTAGAACTTTATTATGCCGTGATATTTTGTATCGACATATGATTACAATATTTTTTATAACTTAATGTGAATATATTATATGCAAATGGATTACTTATATATAATATGATATATATTTAGTATTATGAGGAATTAAATGTGATTTAGTTTAATTATTTGTCAATCAAATATAAATTATATATATATATATTATATATAATTTACGAAATACAATCACGACCCCTGAATGTGTGTCATCTTTTTATTGACGGGAGCTTCAATGACGCTCAATGTAAGTCATACATGCGTGTCATAAATTTATGACACAAATGTGTGTCATCTTAATTTATGACGGGGCTTCAATGACGCTCAATGCGCGTCATAAATGAGCATCATAAATGCGTGTCATAAATGCGCGTCATAGATTTATGACACACAATTGCGCGTCATAAAAAATTCATGTCGGTGGCTTCAACGATAGGCATTTGTGTGTCATCCGCACCCATAGATGACGCGCAATGCGCGTCATTAAAGGGGTTTTTTCTACTAGTGATAATTAAATATGTAATTTATCGAGTTAAGTATAAATCCTCAAAGTACTTTCTCATTTAGGGTCAACTCGGACTATTTTTACCTCTCAAGGGCATTTTCATAATTTCTTAACCAAATAATTTCAGTATTAAAACTCTTATCAAGGATAATTATAATTTACATATCCAGGGTTGATTCCTTAATCACTTAATATAATAACTTAATTTAATTCCAATTGTCCTCTAATTTCTTATATTAGTCATCTAAACCATATTAAGATACCGAATTTTTATCTTATTCGAACCGAGTGTAGAAATTAATTAACTACACAGATGAGACCAAACATTTTCATTTATGCATTTACTAATACCAACATGTTTCATAAAGCAAGAAAAAGTAGTAATGTATTACCTCGATTTTTGTTCAATATTGATCAACCATATAAATTCCATTCGAATGCCCTCGATCTTTAATTCAATGTCTAATAATTCCTCAGATACATATCAACAGAAATTTCATCAAAAACATAGCTTAATTCTGAAAAATGGATCAAATCGGGTGATTAATCAATGAAAAAGCTTACCGAGTTCGAATTTAGCAAAACAAACCTAAAAAATGGACTCAGAACGTCGAAAAACGTCAGGATAGGTGTACCCGGAAAAGTCAACGGTCGGCCAACAGCGGTCAATGGTAATCAATGGTTAACAACGGTCAACGATTCAATCCAGACAGTTCGGTTCGGTTTAGGCAGCTTGATTGGCTCGGTCGGTTCAGTCTAACAGTCAGCTGGTTCTCCAGGCGGTTGGTCGAAGCCTACACTCAAGGGTCGTGTACGGCGGTCTACGGACTCTAAAAAATTCTACAAAAATTTATAAAATTATTTTAAGGGATTTTGAGACACTTACCGAGCTCGGTTCATAATTTTGAACGATTGAGAGCTCGATTTTAAAATGTCGAAAACTTTAACTTCCTCAACCCTCACGCACTGACGAAGACGAAGACTAGAAGGACACCGGTAGACTCAGAACGATGCAAGGAATACGATGGTGCATGAGGTGTCGAAAATGGTTGGCCGGATCGACCTGAATCTACAGAAAGCCAACTGCATTCGAGTTAAAACCGATGAAATTTTTGGTTGATTTTTTATGGTGAATGGCGTCGATTCATGACGGAATAGAGTTCGGGTTTTGTTCTCCATTCAATGGTGAGTCTATTGGTGGTTTTGGATCGACGAACGGTGGCCGGAAGGTGGAGAAATCATAGCTTAAAAGGGAGTTGACGGGGAGAGAGAAAATGGGGAAAATAAATATGGGAAAACCAGATTACACGGGGAGGGGGTTTTATTTTTCAACATCTCACAAAAATGGCAAATTTGATTTCAAGTCCCTAAATTTTCCACACTTCCTAAAATGATATGCCAACTTTGTGATTTTACACTTTAATCCTCGATTTCTTCCAAAATACCACTTAAATTCAATACTTTATATTTTCTAAAATTTATCCCCTAAATTGGGGTGTGACAATTCTCCCCTCCTTAAAAGAATTTCATCCTCGAAATTCATTCATGTCACATAATTGCATAAATGAAACTTCCATAAGTTCTTTCATATCTTCTAGTAGCTTTTACAGAAGTACATGTCCTCTCTTAATCTTTAACCAGCTGAGTATACAATTCATCATAACTCTTCCTCATTCCAACAAAAGAATTAGAACGAATATATTCTTGTGGAATCAATTCAACTTTTTCTATGAGGTTATGTTTATAGAGAAGTAACATATCCCAATTTCATTTTTGGAGTCAGGTCATAATTTCTCAATGATTAACTTTCACATTACTCGTGAGGTACTTTACAGAATTTAGACAGACGTTATTGGTATTCCTTTATGCAACAGAGCCCTAACGGATAGAAAACTTATGTTAGCTCGTTACAGAGAAAGACTTAACCCTGGAGTTCCGGCTCAGAGAAGTATGATTGAAGTCTAGGGGCATGTACTGATCATATATCTTTTGACATTCGACCGACTGATCTATCTTAAAAATTTTAACTCAACCTAAGCTCTGATACCACTAAATGTAACCCCCTCAGACTGATGACCCGCATCCGATCTGGAGTGTCACATTAGGGCCACTGGAGCAACCCACCGTAAAAATAGTAGAAAATTTAAAACTTTTATTAAAACATGTAAACTCATAAAATCATTTATAAATACAAAAGTAAATTTTACCAATATTCAGAAATAAAACAGATTTTCATACTCGTATATAAAACAAAATAAAACCTACAAGCCCCTTAATCACATGTACTATACTCTACAAGCAACACCGTAAGAACTCCCTTACTGATGTCGATAGATGCACTGGTACGATTCTTTTAACCTGAAAAGGTGAGTAACAGAGTGAGCTTTAAAAAGCTCAGTAATACAATACTACCAGTTAATGCTACATGACATGTAGATAAATGAGAAGCCATATAGTTTCCTTATTGAATCAGACGTATACCATTTTTCGGAATAATCTGAGGTTTTATTGGTAGTTCATCGAGTAAAAACCATGAAGATCTCAGTTTATAGGAAGCATTCATAGTATCATACTTTTAGGAGGTCAAATAGGATATCTAGTGTGTTCCAATTAAAACCAATGAAAATATATAATTCTTTTAAAACCACAATGGGACCCTCCAACCAAACTCCATTAGTAGTTCCCCAAAACTGCATCCATGGGGCTTACCCTAAGCACACAACAAAGGGAGCCAACCTAAGATATGCTGGGGCCTATGGGCCTACCCAAGGGTATCCTTAGGTCCGTAAGTATCCTTAGGTCCGTAAGGTCTTTCCAGCTGGATCAGAGTTGTGCCTCCATACTCCAGAATCCTATCCATATAAAAATCCGGTAGAAATCATTTTAGTTATAAATCGTAATACTTGGACCTTTATCCAATAATATGTCATAATTGTAATAATGAAATAAACCGTATAACTGAATTCCACCTGTACACCATAATTAGTTCTATGATTAACCCAAAGGAGTGCCTTGGGGCATGAGAGCCTACCCAATGTCACCTTAGGTTCGTAAGAAATTACCAGCTTGATCAGAGCTGTACTTCCAGTCTAGCCATATAATATCCCAATAAAACAATTTGAGTATAACCAGTGAAACATAAAACCATGGTTCATAAACTGGTAGTTTCCATGATTCCATAAATTAGGAAAAATTCATATTTGTTTTTGGTGAAAACCATAATCGGAGATCACATACCATGTTTCCATGGTTCATAAACCAATAAATCAATACTTTAGTGAAAAGTCATTTTAAAACATATAAAATCGTCATGTAGTACATATGGAACATACTAGAGGATCCAAGTATTTTTTCGAGGCATTTTGTAGTTATCAGTATGGATAACCTGAAGCTTGTGCAATTTGATCAGATTCTAGGAACGAGGTCCTATTGAAGAGAATCGATTACTAACCGATGTAATCAGACATTTAAGGTTAATACTTTAGAAGCTCACTATGTTTCATGTGCATCAGGAAATTGTTTAGGTATGACCAGAGTGATTTGAGCTGATAAAAGAGAAACGAAGATTCAGGGCACTTACTATCCATTCAATCGATTGGATTATCGAACAACTCAAGTTGAACACTCCCAGAACTGATGCCTATCAACTAGTCAATTTATTGCCCTTCCATGATATTCACTCTTTAATACCAACAATTCTTGTCCATAGATCATGTTCAGAATCATTGTTGAATATAATTTAAGGAAGTGAATAGATATCCCAGTAATGTTTATTTCTTTTCCACATTGCTTCAATATCAAGAATTGTCGACGTATTTAAATCTTGGTTCTTAACCCATAGGGACCGTACATTATGCAAGTTCATTGGTGTTTCCAGACTCATCCAATCACTTACTAAATTCTCAGTCATTAATGTTATTTATTTCATTTAGTAGTCAAATCTATCCCAATTACTTCAGAGTCATCCCGACTAATTCAAACGCTTATGAGTTTCGGATACATCTACTTCCCTTCAGTTCAGTTT